ATGCACAGAAAAACAGTTCCAAGCCCTGCACCTGGGACCAATCAGAAAATGCTATTTTCACTTCTTCTGGTTCAAAATCAACCCGCGAGATTCCGAGGGATGAGTCGGGGCGCGGGGCTCCTCCGCTCGGGAAGCCGGAGCGGAGGGGAAGCGAGGGTGGGACCGCTGTCCTCGGAAGTACTTGGGGCTGTGAGTCACTGAACAGGAATAACCACCTTGTGGCTCTGTGCTCCCCCTCATCGGAGTTCTCCCAGCCGAGTATCCAAACACCGTTTCTTAAAGTAAGAGCGAAATATGCGACTGCTACTCCTGATGTGTGGCGTAGTCGGAGAATTTTAGTAGCTACAACTAATAGACCCAGGCGAGATGTACAGTACACGTCTTCAAATTAAATAGGGAAAGGCTGAATTGGAGTTAAGTGGATGTAAAGGTAGAAGAAAATGACATTAATTTATCTTAGAAAACAACCACCCCCATTCCTTTTAAGAGAAGATTACGTTTTAAAGAATTTGATAGAGGAAATTTAAGAGACTTAATAGAGGTTTTTTTTATGGGGGGGGTTGCAGTCTAACTACATCTTTGTGACTTCCAGTGTGTGGTGTGATGCCTTCATAATTATTTTTATTGGCTTTAATATATCGTGAATGCATCTTTCATTTTAATCGTAACAGTACTGTAGATTATGGGTTGTGTTAGGGATTCTGAAGAAAGATTTTTTAAATGAAGTTCACATTAAGCAGTTGGAGTGCAAAGGTTGATTTATTTGGATAATTTGATGTAGACAACTGTAATTCTAAAGAGGACTGTCCCGGGCTAATAGTAATTAATTAACTTTGGAAGTGGTTACTCACCTGAAGGCAAGTACAGTCTGGAGAGTACCTGTTCGTTTCTGCCCGGTTTTGTGCGGCAGTTCAGTGTCATTACCAGCGAGCCCGCTGCAGTCACTAAGGCCTTCATTATAATTTTATATAGGCTAAGAATCATTTAATTTTAGGTAGTTTTACTTAAAGCTTGCATTGACCTGAATTTTTGGATGAGATTATGCTGCCTAAGAAATTTGTTAACTGATCCCGTGTGCACTATGTGTAAAAAAGCGAGCAACTGAGACGTTACTGAAAGTCACTGGATCTGTGGTATTGTGGTTAGAGGAAATGGTTATGATGGTTTCCAGAAGAGGAAGTGAGAGTAACATCAAAAGTGATTTGGTTATTTGGGCAAAATACCTTTTTTAAAGTAACCATTAAACGTTTTTATAGTATAAGTGCAATCAAAATTTAATATTCAACTTTCATAGATAAAATTAACCTAAATTCAAGCATTTGAGCTCATAATTACAGTTCACTCCCTTTTCTCAAAGTGCTGTTTTTTTCGTTTCCTGTTTTGAGAAACTTCAGGTGCTGGTATTACTGCTGGAATTTGAAATAGGTTGAATAGATCCTTGTTATCTCCCAGTGTCAAATATCTGCAGTTATTGAAATAGTGCATTTCAGCACTTGCTGTACATTTATAATTTTTTGAGAAATATTTTGCATGCTTTGCCTGATTATATGAGTTCACTCTGGGCAGTGTAATTTGTTTTTGAAGTACTATTTAGAACATTACCTGGCCTATAAAGCCATTATATAGGGCTTGTTGAAATGAATGAGAGAGACAGAGAACACAACGTATATGCCACTCTGATAGCTTTTGCTTTCTTTCTCTTGCATAATTTTGCATATAGTGCATTAGATAGATTTTTGGATCTTTTAGCCTATGTAATTGTTTATAACACTGTTAAAATTTCCCAGCTGGCTAGGGTTTGAAACATTTGTTCAAATATCTTGCCAAAGAAGTGAGTAAGATCTGTTCACCATGTGTTTATAAGGTTCATTGCTTTCTGCATTCTTAGGGCAATGTAGACCATATAGTCTTTTCTCCGGATTTCTTATGTTCCTTTAACAAAAAGCCTTCGACCTCATAATACATGTCTGACAACCAATTATCACATTTTTTATCAATCCATGTATGTATTAGGTTGTCTACCAAATTTGATTTTTGGCTGTTTAGTTGGAAGTACAGGTTGAGTATCCCTTGTCTGAAATATTTCCAATTTTAGATTTTTTTCAGATTGTGGGATATTTGCGTGTATATGTATGATTGATTGTGTGCGTGTGTGTGTGTGTGTGTGTGTGTGTAATCAGATACCCTGGGGATGGAACCCGAGTTTAAACATGAATGTTTCATGATATGTCATATATATAGCCTGAAAGTAATCTTGTGCAATATTTTTAGTGCGACTAGTTTTGACTGTGACCTGTCGTTTGAGGTTGGGTGTGGAATTTCCACTTGTGACATCATGTAGACACTCAAAAAGTTTCAGATTTAGGAGCATTTCAGATTTTAGATTTTTGGATTAGGGACATTCAGTCTGTGTACAACAGAAATGATGTTAGTGCGAACATACAAAGAAAAATACTTTAATAAGCCAAGTAAAATAACTTATTATAATCAGTTATATGCTCTGACACTTAGATGGAAGTATTAAATTAACAGTTTCTGAAAAAAAATTTTTAATTCAGTCAAAAATTTGAGATTTGAATATTTATAAGTTGTGAGAATCTCAGGGAACTTGTGGTTTGAGGATGTAATAATTCATAAAAAGGTATTTTAAGTAAGAAATGTAAAGGTAATAGGCAGTTTTATAGGTTTAGATTTAATTCCTTATAATTTTTATTAAAATTAAAATCTTCTAAACTTAATGCACTCACGATACAGTGATTTTAAACCGTTTTGACACAACTTTCTGTGGTGGTCAAATTAAAAACTCTGGCCCTGCATTCCACTATTTCCTTTCTTTTTTTTGCGGGGGGGGGGTCGAACTTTCTAAGTAGTCGTCCGGAACCACTCAGCTAAATTCTCAGCCCTGCATTCCACTGTTGATTCTGTCACTGAGAGTTCTATAACATTGGGCAAGTGACTTGACATCCTGAACTTCCCTTCCCTATTTTGTAAAATAGAGAAATTTAATACTAGAGCCTATTCCACTCTTAATGGTGTTGTCTTTGTTAGGTCATTTTGAAGCAGTATAGAAGTTATAGGCCATTAGTTTTCTAGAGTGTAGGGATGGTAACGCCTGCTCTGCTTACTTCACAGGGTTGTTTGTGAAGATAAAGGATGATAAAATGTGAGAATAGCTTAAAGTTTCTGTGCTTGTTTGGCAGTATTTATTTGTGCGTGTCAGCAACTTCAGGCATTTGTTTTCCTGAAATTTTACTGCCACATATCCAAACTCCTAAATTCCAAAGGAAAACATTTTGCTGAGTTTAAAATATATTTTTTTTATTTACTTTTTTCTTTCTCGTTTCTTTTCCTATACCATTTAAACATAAGGTCTCAGTTAACACTTGCATATTTTATCTCTTATTGACAGTTTTAAAGGGTAGAAAAGGAGAAAAAATTCAGAATTGTAAAATGTTTTAGTATGAGGATTTCACTGTTTTTATTATTATTATTATTTGAGTATAGAAATATCCCTCCACTTGGTGCCTCCTCAGACCTCTTTTTATGTTTCAGATTAAGTTTATTTCCTGAGGGAAATAGTAGTGTAAAATTGAAAGTCTTTATCTCATAGCCTGCTTCATAAATGAGGGAAAAAAAGGGAGCAGTGCTGGCTAAAGGCAGAGGAACTGGCTTCCTTCCAGAAGTCAGACTGAGGGCATTCTTCTCTGTGGGTCAGTCAGCAGATAAATCAGGTCACTCCAGTCTTATTCCAAGATTGGATTGAGGCAGTTCTATACTAAATATAAGAATTTTTCTATGAGCCTTGTATTTTTTGAGTGCACATGGCATGCAAAATACTCTTGTAAGTTTCTGTCTCACATAGTACAGAACTTTTTAGGATAATTATTTTCTTCAGATTAATAAATGCAGACACTCAGGCACAGAGAAGTTAAAAAAAAAAAATCCCTTACGGTTATAAGCAGTGGAACCAGAATTTGGACATGTATAACCTAACTTAAAAACTCATGTTCTTGTGGCTGGGGCTGTAGCTCATTGGAAGAGCATGTGCTTAGCATGTGTGAACCTCTGGTTTCAATCCCCAGTACCAAAAAATCAAATCAGCCCCGCTCCCCAAACACCCTCGTGTTATTACTATAAAGCTAAACTCTATGTAAAGTAAAACATACAGTAAATGAAGGAACTACTTTAAGTTTTTTTTGGGGGGGTACTGGGGATTGAACTTGGGTCCTTACACTTGCGAGGCAGGCAGCAAAACCATTGACCTAAACCCCCAGCCCCAAATTACAATAATTTTCCAAGTTACTTATTCTTCCTGTTGCTAAGGATATGAAAATGGAAAAAACTTACATGGGGAAGCTTAGTTTTGTTTTGTTGGTGCTGGTTATCGAACTCAGGACCTTGCTCTTGCGAGGCAGGCGGCGGAACCATTGAGCTAAAACCCTGACCCTTGTAAGTTATTGAGAGGGGAATCATAGTCATATAAGAAAGTTCATACTTAACTGCTAGTTCAAAGACCATTACTACTGTGATTATTCTTATTAGGCTCTTATTTGAGTAGATATTAATAGTAGCCAACATTTTTAGAGCACTTACTGTGCCATTTTTTGCCCTCTTCAAATCCTCATGACTCTATGAGGTAAGTACTAATTCCCCCCATTTTTACAAATAAAGAAACTAGGAGATGTTATATAATATATCCAAGGTCCCATAGTTCGTGATACCCAGCTAATTTTATTCCAGAATCTGAGTATAACTTTCCTGATGTACTGCTTCCTGAGTATACTATGTTTAGGCAGTATGGAAAAAAGTAAACCAGTTTTAAGAAAAAGATATACTTCTTTATTTTTCATTGAAATGAAATTCCATTCTTTTTGTTTTTAGTGTATGACTGCTTATACACACACACACACACACACACACACACACACTGTATTTTTACACAGTAAAATTTGTGATCATGGAAAATGGGTATTGTAGTCCATTGTATTTTCATATTTGATAGTTGCTAACTTGATAGTTTCATATTTGATAGGATGGGTAGCTGAATTTTTAAATCAGAATAGGAAAGACAGTATCTTGAAAAAAAAAACAACATAATTTGAAATCACTAGATTTCTGTACTATCTCAGGAATGTTTATGAGACTTGAGTTTCATTATGCCACTGATATAAGGAAATGTTGATCTGAGGCTTATTGTTGAGCAAATTCTTAGTCGTGATTCTTAGTGACTAGTAATTTTATCTTGGGAAGAACAAATTGAAAGATTAATTTTTAAGACATAACACTTAAAGAAGTGATAGTCTATTCTAAGAAACAGTCAAATGTATGTTAACATCATGAGGTTGAAATGGAATTTACATCCTAGCTTTGTATCCATCTGGTTAAGGATTAAGATTTGTAAATTTTAAAATTTTATTTAATTATATTTGAGAATTAATTTTTTTTACTGCATTCCTATTTCCATTTATAAAATATAGGAATGTTTACTTTCATTTTTATATTTTGGCTTGGAGGGAAGCTAGATGATATTTGAAAAAAGGTTTCAATTTGAGTTGAAGTGCAAAAGTCATCCAATAACAATTTATTTTTATTCTTGGCTACCGTTTCTTTTTAAGGTATGTAAACTTTCACTGATGGTTTTGCTCCTGTTTCTATAGCTGCATGTAGCCTTTATTTTTTCTTCTTTCTAGTGTTATTTTAAGTTGCCTTAGAGCACCAAGATACTGACGTGGTTGTACACTTACACAGCAGTATTAAAATTTGAGAAGTATAAACTCTATATTTATTGTATAGTAAAACTCGCTACTTAGAATACTTTAAAATTGTAGCACCATATAGTTCTAATCTTGCTTTGTTATTCATAGTCTGCAGTACTTAAGTTTTCTACTGAAAAGTATGTCACAGTTTGACAATTATTGTTTACACGTAATTCTCTCTCTTTTTATTACAATGCTTCCCCAGCAAGGACAAGTTTGGAAGGTTTGCAAAGCTTTTCACCTTCCCTCTGCCCGCTTGCCCGCTTTCAGATCAGTTTCATGTTTCATAACTTCTCTTTCTGTAATCCACAACATAGCCATAGTGAATAATGAAAAAGACCCATTTAATTGAAGTACTGCATTTCCTCACACATAGCAAATAGAAAGGACATATCCTTGAAAAAAGGGAGTAAGAATAAATAGGAATGGTATAATTTTAATAATTCCCTAAGAAATAACATATTACTAGCAAGCAGTTAATTAAATGTCACATAATGAAATTGAACAGTATTAAAGGTTATATTCCGTATTGCTAATAGTTCAGGTAAAAAGTTTTTCCTAATAATATCTTACATTTGTTTAATGCTTTATAAGTCCTTTACAGACAATGCTGCACTGCTGGTGTGGTCAGATGTAAACATTTCCACTTGTTCTGTGCTTATGAGATGTAGAACAGCTGTAGATTTATTGTTGGAAGTGCTGCTGGTATGATGGAAAACAGTGTTGTAACTCAGATGTTCAGAGGAACAAGCCACACACTTTATCTCTATAAAAACTTTAGCAGCTTCCCATTCTTTTGAACTAGGGCTCTTGTATTAAACTGTCTAAAATGAATGAGGAAAACATTTTGGAAAAAATATTTAAACATAAACTTTTATAACACCTAGAAAGAAACATGTCCACTTCCTACTTAATTTTATAATATTTTGTTAGCTTCAGGGGAATACAGTTCTACCTCAAACCAAGAATTTTTTTCTTTTCTTCTTTTTCTTTTCTTTTTTTCTTTTTTTTTAGGTTTGAGCTTTTTCCTTCACTGCTGTTCTGCGCTAACTGCTTTGAAACTTTCCATGCATTTTTTTCAGTAGAAGAACATCTCTGTACTGTCTCCCATTGCATATTTCAGCTGTGACAATCCCTGCACTTTGCCTATTCATTTTATCACCTGCTCACCAAAAACAATAAATATTTCTCTAATTTCTGGTTACAGATTTGCTAATCATCGTTTTGGAAGGAGGATTTATTTCACTTTTTTTATTACTTTTTTTATAGGCATGTGGTGATCCCAAGGCCAAACCATCCTACCTTATTGACAAAAACTTGGAATCTGCTGTGAAATTCATAGTCAGAAAATTTCCTGCTGTAGAAACTCGCAACAACAATGTAAGTCATCTTGGTTTTTTTACTTGATTTTAGTCATCTTTGAGGAAAGCACTGGTCAGTGTCATGCTTGTAGTAGCTCTTATTTCTTTTGATTTTGATATACAGATTATATATATTAAGAGTTCTAATTACCTCTGATACTGGAAAAATTATTCCTTACTACATTGCTATTTTCTCATGGAAAACATTCATTTTTAATTTCTTACACACAATTTTCTTTTAAGTTATAACAATAATGTTACAAAGCATATGTATATAGTATCCCAAATATTTGTGTGAATACTTGGAGTGATGTTTTTATGGTCTTAGTAAATTTCCTTTAAGGTTAGTAAATGACTTCGTAGAGCTTTTGTTTTAGCAATTTGTTGTGTTTAGTTTAAAAATATATTTTTTTACTATTTTTATTTACTGTTTATTTTATCTATTTATTTACTAATATATTTACTATTTTTGTATTTGACAAAAATATTTGAAAAGTAAATAAGATGATCATGTTAGGATCATTGTTATCTTTATATTACTTTTCATGTGTGAAGGTAAGGGTTTTTTTGGTATATTGAAGAAAAGCATTTAGAATCTTTCCATATCTTTTGGTAATTCTTTATAACTCTTATAAATAACACAATCTGAAAAATTGTGCCATGGTATTTTTATGTAAGTTTTGCTGATTTGGATTTCTTCTCCATGTCTTCTTTTTCATTTTTTTTCTTTGATTTTGCTTTATGTAATAGAAAACTTTTTTGTGTGTGTGGTACTGGGGATCAAACTCAGGACCTTGCACTTGCGAGGTAGGTGGCGGAACCACTGAGCTAAATGCCTGGCTGATTTTGCTGTATATGCAAAAGTAGTTTAGAAATTTTCTCTCATGACTTCTCTTATTTTTGAGAAGCTCTGTTTAAACAATATGTTATCATCTTTTTCTTTTTTCAAATCATTTGTATTCATTGAAGATTTGTGCTTAGCCTATTGATGCCACTTTTACTGAAAAATGTTTTAATGTAGAAGGACATGCCAGTCAGTTAATAAAAATATCAGGTAAAGTGCTTTTTAAATAATTTTTTAGAAGTCTGTTTGTTCTTGGTTTTGTTTTTTGAAGCACTGGTTAGTAGAGATCTTGGTTTTATAGAAGATTGTGTTTTTAATTGGTAGATTAAGGCATCACAATTAATTCCTGATTACAAAATTAATGATTCAAAGTGTGCACTTCCTGGACTGGGGATGTAAAGTATGCACTTCCTAAAAACATGACTCTTTCTGTGAAGAAGTCTTTTTTTAGTTATATTATTTGGTTGACTCATCTGAGAGATTAAATACTTTAAATAAGAGAGATTTTATTTTGAAAATCTTAATTTAATCCAATATACATTTCATTCTTAAGGCTCATAAATCTGACATAAGCTCTTCAGAAATTTTTAAAATTTTATATGCATGTTTATGCATAAATTTTTCTGGAGCGTAGTTCCTGAATTTGCAATTTTTGTTGGAAGATTGCCAAGAACTTATTTATATATATATATGTGTGTGTGTGTGTGTATGTATATGTATATGTATATTTTGTTTTGTTTTTCCACTGTTTAATAACAGTAATTTTTTTGTTAAGGGTTATTTAAGAACTTCTTTTGATATGGTTGGCAGACTGTTTACTTGTATAATAACATTTATGTTGCTTTTTGTTCTTTAATAGTTTTATTGTCCTTTACAACTTTTGTTAGTTTCGTACTGGGGATCAAACTTGGGACCATGGGCTTGCCAGACAGGTGCCTGAACCACTGAGCTAAATCCCCCGCCCCTCCCTTTACAACTTTTAAGGCACCAAATTGGATTTCTTTCTTCCTTTTTTTTTAGGAGGATGGGGGTGGTACTGGTGATTCAATCCAGGGGCACTCTACCACCCAGCTATATCACCAGCCCTTCTTGTTTTATGGGACAAGGCCTCACTAAGGTGCCCAATCTGTCCTCAAACTTAAAATCTTCCTACCTCATCCTCCTGAGTAGCTAGGATTACAGGAATGTATCACCACAGGTGTCCTAAACTAACACTTAATGAAAGCTTTATTAAGATATAATTCATATACAAAGAGTGATCAAATTATATGATGAATATTTTTTAATTTAAAAAATTTTTTGCAGTAAAAGACACAGACACATGGCCAATAATCCCTTCAAATACTTCTTCTTACTTTGAACACATTTAATCTGTTGTCCTTGCCACTTTCTGAAGTAGTTCTTGAAGTACTCTTTCATGAGGGTCTTTATGAGGTATAATCAAAAATATGAGTGCTGTTGCTGAGTGCAATCTAGTGGAAAGGTGGGCTCATAAAAACATTACAGTGAGTCCTGGTCTGCCGTATTCACTGAATCTGGCATTGTGTGACTTCTCCTCTTCAGTCAAAATGACTATGAAAGGTAAACATTATGATTTATTACAGATGTCAAGATAGCCGTGACAGTGCAAGTAAAGACACGAAAGAGAACTTCAGAACTGCTTCAGAAAGTGGCAAGAACAGTGGGATAAATGTGAAATATTTTGAGGGGATTAATGACAATGTTATTTTACTATAATTAAGTAATACATTACTGTACATATAAATATTCACTGTATTTCTTATATAATTCACTCATTTGAAATGTGCTAGTCCCAGAATTATGAGGCATAGTTCAATACAGTTCACCCATCTGAGGTGTACTGTTTATGGTTTTTAGTTTATTTAGTAGCTCAGTCAGAGAATTTAGAACATTTTTATCACGTAGGAAGAAACTCTATACCCACTAACATTCAGTCCCAATTTCCTATCAGTGCCCCACCAGGCAAACACTCAACTACTTTGTGTTTATCTCTGTGCCTATTGTAGAAATTTCATATGAATGTAATAGTGGAATATGTGATAGGTTTATGCAAGTTGGAGCATGCATATATCACTATTTTCATTTCATTGCTGAATATTCCATTGTGTAGATATAGCACATTTTATTTATTCATTCGTGAGTTTATGAATGTTTGGGTAGTTTCTACTTGGTTATTATAAGTAATTATGTTATATGAATATTTATAAAATGTGTGTGTGTGTGTGTGTGTGTGTATTTTTAATTTATTTTGCACATACCAGGAGTAAAATTGTTGTTATGTGGTAATTCTGTCTTTAACCTATAAAATTGATTGCATAGTATTATGACTATTTGTAGATTTACTCTGATTGTTTGCAAAGCCTGAGTTTTGTCATATGGTATATGTGATTTGATTCTGTTGTTTTTGACCTGCTGAAGTACTAGGTACAGGATATTTGTGATACTTAGTGATCTCAGTTTTGGTCTGGGCCTGGTTAAAATATTCCTGAGGGATTTCTAGTCAGCTTGGGTTATGAAATGAACAGTGAGGAGTTCATTAAATATTTATTTACTTAATTACTGATTTATTAATTTATTTACATTTGAGACAAGGTCTTGCTATGTAGTGCAGGCTGTTCTTAAAATTGCTGTGTAGCCGGGACAGGACTTCAAGCCTGATCTTCCTGCCTTGGCCTCCCGAGTGCTGGGGTTATAGGCATAGGCCTCATATTAGTATTTTTTAACTTCATAAAATAGATTAATGAAAGTTTAATGACTTGGAATAACAGGTAGCATCTAGGATTGATAGAAATGTGCAGATATTTGTCTTCTCAGTGTGCTATAAAAGTGATTTTAGTGTCACAGTCTTGTGTCACAGAACATGCTTACTTTATCTCAGGAATCAAGATAAGCACTATTTTCTACTTTGATTCATGTTTTACTAGCACTACTTGTCCTCCAGCTTCAGAAAAGTTAACTCATAAAAAGATTCTTTCTAGTGAAAATTCAACAAAATATATTTGAGATTCCTAAAATAAGTTTTTACAAAAAGTTAAATCTTATTTTCAGCCAAAAAGTTGCTGATTTTTAATTATCTTTAGTAACTACTGTGATCATGTCTTTAAATTCCATTAGAAGGTATAAGTTCCTAGCTCTGTGTATAGCATGGAAAGGGACTGTGGATAGACAGTGGGGCTATGTGTGGAACAAGGCTTCCAGTGATAACGGTGGATTCTTTGGAGTCCTAGTTAGTGTCTCTTTCTGTCTATGCAACACTTTGTGTGAATTGTGCAGACATAGAGGGGAATCTTTATTCCTATGGGTGAAGAAAATAGTAGAAATGGGCTGGGGATTTAGCTCAGTGATTACGCCACCTACCTTGCAAGTACAAGGTCTTGACTTTGATCCCCACTACCAAAGAAAAGAAAAGAGTAGAAATTCCTTACTAAATTGACAAGTTAAGGTTATTTTGCTCAGAAACTTAAAAAATTTTTTTTTATAAAACATACTCAGGTATATGTAAAACGTAACTTGTTTTTTTCCAAAAATTTTTTTAAACTTTATTTATTTTTTCTTTTTTTCATTTGTATTTACATCTGAAATCTAGTTTGTGTTTTATAAAGTGCCAAAAATATTTTCACGCATAAAAGGGTCACTATGGGTTTACCCATTATACATTTTAGAATAAAATTTTGGGTTTGATTGCCAGATTACTAGAAAAGAGCTGTGTAAATGACCATCCTGTATGTTACATTAGATTTTGGAATCAGTAGGAAGAAGGACATTGTTAGGAGAGTGGCACAAAGTAATACAGGAGTTCTATACTAAAACACACGTCATTACTGAAATAATTTTAAAAATATGTTTGTTTTTTTTTTTGAGACAGAGTCTCACTATGTAGTTGAGTCTGACCTGGAACTCACTATGTAGCCCAGCTGGTTTCAAACTCACAGCGATCCTCCTGCCTCAGCCTCCCGAGTGCTGGAATTACAGGTGTGCACCACCACACCCGGCAAAAATATGTTTTTAAACTGAAAATATTTTATGTTACAGATATTGCCTTTTTGGTTTTTTGGTATCGGGAATTGAACTCAGGTCCTTGTACTTGCAAAGCAGGTGGTAGAACCACTGAGCCAAATCCCTGGCCTAGATACTGCTTTTGTACTCTCTCAAAG